GATAAACCGTGGATTTAAAACAAATTAGGTACCTTCACTTTTATGTTAAAAATTTAGATAATTTGCATGTACTTATGAACATTTTAATATTGTACGGTCGACAAAAAAACAGAATTGCTGTTATGCAATGAAAAGTGTGAATCATAAAGGTTTAAAAACCATTGCATTGCGCAATACCCATATAGTATGGTATATTGGTATAGCTACCATACACTTCAGTATTTCACACACATCTTATAAAATTATAAACATATAACAATCAAAATGTATGTATTTAAAAACTTATTATATAATTAGTTAATAAATAATTTGCTTAGCACTTATTTCTGATAAAATTTAAATGTTTAAAGACAAATTAACTTATTATATTTAAATATGTTTAAACTTTGAAATTAATAATCTTTTATCATTAAAATTTTGACTAAACTAAAGTTTCTTAAAAATGTTCGAATTTAATATTTGATTAAATTGTATACTGCAAAAATACTATTAATTTAATAACCTTTAAATTAATTTAGCTAGGGATTTCAGATATCTTTAAATTTTTCCCGAAATGTCATTTTTGTAGTATTCGGAGTATTCCTAATGCATCCAAACATAAAAATAATTAATTTTATAGCACAGCGACCGATTTTTAATTATCAAAATATAATTATTGTTAGGTACATTTATTTTTAGAAAATAATAATATAATATACATAATATAGTWATATTTATTGCATAAAAATTAAACAAATAATCTCTATATATATTTTTTTATTAAATTAAGACTTTAACATTTATAATCATTAGCCTGACGGTTATTTAGTAGGTTTTTCAAGTGTTGGGAAGGGTACGGTTGGCTAAAACATTAGTAGGTATCGGGCTGAGAATGAAAAGGTTCTATGTCAGAATATCAAATTGTTCAGCWKARCGATTTTTAACTTTGATACCCAATATCTTTTTTTCTGTTCATTTTATGAATACCACCATAATTTTAATAAATAAATTAATACATTTACTGTCAGATACATTGTGAGTATTAAGTATTGGACATCCGCACATTTTATAAAAACCAAAAAACTGGGAAAAAAGTGTAGAAGAAGAAAAAAGTTCTCTGTATAGGACCTTTTCATTCTTCCAACTAAATGATATATTATACATAGAACTTTTTTCTTTTTCTGTAGTGCTAWACAATATTTTTCTTCTTGTCAGTGTTACCGACACATGCAACATGAATAATTATAATAACATAATGTTCTTACATTATTTTAATGTTTAATCAAAAACAATAATTATTAACAATTTGAGCAAATAAATAATACATA